GGCAATGGGAATGTGGAAGCTTGAGTAGAGCCGCATGCCGCCAAATAATCAGCCTTTTCACCATGTAATTCAAAGCGTGCGGAGCACGCAGGGCCACAAACCGAGAACCTGCCGTTTGTCGGGTGGCCTTCGTGGCCAAGCGAGGCTGGAATTCTTGCAGTCGGCTTTCGGGAAGAAATTCCCGTCGTCAAGGGGTTATTAGTGCAGTAAGATCAACATAAACATAAGCAATGCAAGAATTTCTGGGGTGGCAGGGTTTGGAATAACAAAAAATGTAGCATAACAATTCTGAAACATTTTCATGATAACAGGCTTTTTAAAACCTTTTCCCAGTGTCTTTTTTTAATTACTTTTTTGTTCTCTTATTTTTTCCCCCATGTTTTATCAGGGAGGTAAACCTCCTATCTACGGTGATGCCCATGGACCCAAGATAACGTCAGACACTGGGCTTAACTACAAAGCTCAGAATTTCTCTCTGTCAACAAACTATAGAGGGCAGTAGACAGTCTGCAGAAATAGCTTACTAAATGAAATCTGCCATTGTGTACAATCAGAAAGTACAAATGATTTTCTCCAATGATAGGTAAGTCCAAGTCAGGGTCCAACGTGTCAAAATGGCATGCAAATTGAGTGACATTCATGTAACATGCATTAACATCAAAGACATAGTTTCCACTGTATTATTGAAAGTTCTTGTATGTACTGTACACAGGCCAACATCACTCATCTACCACAATACATCACCAGCATGTCACCATGGTAACCATCCACAGGCAGGTCAATCATGCCACATGTGACAGTATACTCACAAAGCCATTGGCTCTCCTGAAGAGAGAGGAGGGGCTATAGCTGTTGTAGTTATAGGGCCATACCATTGACTCCAAGGGGCTTTCCACGGGGGCGGACTCCCTCATGGCTTTGTCATGTTGCAGGGACTGGGAGATTAGTTGAGCTACTTCGCTGTTTTCACTGTCCTTCTCGCGACCGATTAAGAATCTGTAGAATGGAAGGCAAAGCAATGGCCAAATGCATCAAAAATTAACATAATTATGCCATCCTAACACAGATACAGCACTACACAAACAGAGATCCAAGACAGCCCTTGAAAATGAAGACTGAGAAATGAACATTTATAGAACCAAATCCGCCATCACATTTTCAGCTGAAAATGAAATCAAATGACAAATGGCCTTGGTATGGTACATGTCTGTAACACAGCCTTGGGTTTTAGACATAATTCTTCTGAGAAGACAAAATAAATGGGGCATGGAGACATCAGGAAATTTAGTACTGAAAAAAAATCCTAAAAAATTTGTTTTTGATGAAAAAGGTAACAGTGCTGAACAACACCGATTAAAGATCAATATCTGTCTCATTTACTAAACATACCAACTGACCAAGTGGACATGTAGAAAGTAGACAATCAATATCACAAAATTAACCATGAATGGTACACACACAATAATGCCTCTGGAGACTAGCCAAGGGTACACATTAATGACTGCTTGATTAAATCTATTTATACATGAAAATAAACAGCCCTTCAGATAATGGAAGAATAATTAACATCCACATGACCATCAACTGTTCAGGGTTTTCTTCAAATTGTCTCTGAGATACCAATAATAATCCAATTAGATATTGTAATAGTGGAGACTCAATGGAATTAAAACCACTGACGCAGTACCCTTCAAGTCTATAATGAAATCAGAAATCAACCAAAGAAAAGAGAAACCGAAGGATATGTATGCATTAAACGACCTCATTTATATTCATTTTTTTCAATTGTGTGCCACGTGGGAAATCCCCCCCTCCTGGAGACGACAGGTGTTTGCAAGAGACCACAAAACAATGCCTAAATTAATAATTAATCACTTCCGTGCCTGATCCCCCCTCTGCTGCCAGAGGGAGTACACTCACTCTGGGAAGATTAACTGACATTGCTTGACGTAATACCGACTTGTTCACAGCAGATGACTACTTGTTCTAACCAATGGCATTTCCTACTTAATGGAAACTGACGCAGCCAGCAACAGATGTTTCGGAATAAATTGATCGACCAGCATGACCAAAAATTATCAATTGCAAACAAACAAAAACATGGCATTTGAAAATAAGATCAGAGAAGTTTTGTTTCCTCATCAATCATATTCTAACTTCTAACACCCTCAAAAGAAGTTCTCCTATTTCAAGAAGCCTCCATATTCATTTGAAACATGAATCGTGACTGTCAATTTCTTGGGGCAGCTGACCTCAATTAGAACAACTCTTCACAATTGATTTCTGGACAATTGAATGGTTGAAGTACAGAACCTTGTTAGAGGGTACAGCAATCAAGTATGATGGCCAATATCAGAAAATGAAGTACCCCAGAGCGCTTTACCAAGAAGAAAAGGTCAAGGTACTATCTTGGTCTTTCAGTCAGCTCTCAATCACAATTACTGTAGCGTAGGGCCATTCTGTTGACACAAACCCATGTCTTCATTTGAATCATGAACGATTATAGACATGTACATGTACAGTGCACAGGCATGTGAAGGTTGTAATTATGTTGAGGCCTGTTCCTCCTTGATGAATCATCAAACAAAACAAGTTAGCTTTATTGAACGCATTAAACCAAAAATCCATAGCACTATTATGGCAAAGGTTATGCGTACTTTATAAATCACTTCAATATACGGCAACTATGTTCCTGACAAGCTTCATACATAATAATGTAATGAAAACAACATGGCCACTGCACTAAATATCTTTTTTAAGAATGTGTCATATAATTTATAAACTGTCCATTTTTGTTTTGTTTCTTTTATGCCATGTGTGCTTGTGGTCTGCAGTGTCTGTCCTCAATTGACCTTCATTTCAATTGAGGAAGTAGAAATGTGTAGCAGGGGAAAATCATGTAGCAGTTCCTTTGGAGTAATTCCAAAATTTAGATTTTGAGCGATTTTTGGTTCTGTTGATATCTGAGGATGTGAGATTTTTCTTATTTCCAATTTGACACGAGAATGTTCTGAATTTGAGCAAATGAATCCAAACATGTGTCTACTTCCTTGTCAAGCTAATTTGCGGTTTTAATTTGTGAAAAAATTTAAACAATGAAAAGTGAAAAAATATTTCACATAACTACTGGTGTCTTTTATTTGATATTTCATTTTTGAAAACCGTTTTTTGTTGTTGTAAGAGTTCTAACTAACAAAACTCTCAGTAATGGAATGACACATCTCTAGTTTCCTGTGTAACTCTCACAACACCCTTCTGCTCATGCTAACAAAAAAAAAAATCCAGGCTTTGATACCAGAATTCCAACATGCCAATGTCTGTACTCTTAACTACTGAAAAGAAGGAATTGCTCTTGAAACAATTAACTCTTTCTGAGTGGCAAAAAGGATGACACAACCCAAGTGACATCACTGTACACCATCTGAAATGTCTCGATCTAGTTGTGCTTGGCTTCTGAGTATTGTTATTAATACCACAACAGAGGGCCATGCCCATTAGAACCTGTGGATTTCTCAGATTGTTTTGTTCATTCCTTCCAGAACCTGTAATCGGTCTCAGCTAATATTGCCATATCATTGCGGCCGAGAACCAAGGTGATGTCATGTGATCTAAGCAAACAAACAGCCACTTCCTGTAAGTGAGAGATTGACCTGAGATTCTGTTGCCACAGGAACCGGCCTACACGTACAGGGTGCTTCAACTTCAAAAGAATGCAGTTAGAAAAAATAGTACGAGTACAATGTGAACTAACGTAAAATTTTGAATAAGCTTCTACATAAATTTAAGAAATTGGTAAGACTCCTTTGAATAGAGTTTCTTTCAAAAGATGCTTTAAAACAATACACTAAAAAAAAGACTATTAAAATGTATCCCCCAAAAATAAAGTTTGAAAAATCTGAAAAATATATACATATATATAAACAAATCAGTACAATGGTAAGAATTGAAAATTAGTTACACTGAACCTTATTTGAACTGCAACTATAAACTGCGTCTGTGACTTCAACTAAAATCAATGGAACAATCTATTGGACAAATGTCAAGGTACTTCCAATCACTCAGTCCTCTCCAACAGGAATCACTCTTTTTATCCTACATGTAATAGACCAAAGGTACTGCTATATGAGAAAGCTGAGGTTGTGTGCAACTGACTTGGCTATGGCTATCGGTAACACCTAAGTCTATGAGAAATGGATGTAGCCGCCTCCTAGTGTTTATCCATAGGCGAAATACTATTTCTAGCCTAGCCAAAACAATTTGGACATGGCCCTAGTTTGCAGCAGAATTTGCTAATTATTGAAAATGTCTGACTTACACACATATCTGCTAAGCACAAAGATGTTGCTAGTTCAGGCTGTTATGCATGAACCTACACGTATCAATTTCTGCTCAAATGCAGCCCAATTAATCTGAACCCTGCTTCCTTGTTCAAACTGACTCGTTGACAACAACAGGTCATGCCAGATATCAAGCAATGAGACAGAAACCCTTCCAGTTAATATTTTTCTAAGACTACAAGCACAGGGAGTTGTCCTCCACTCACATGATGTATTGCCACTGACCAAAGCAAGTAAGGCACTCCAGTGTTTCGTTCTGGTGCCATGTGACTACAATTATCGCGGCAGAGTTTCCCAAAGTGCTATCCGCGAAAGAAGTCCTTGATTAAATGCCAACACGTACGGAGTACAAATGTGGGCCCAATAATCATCAGCATGATTGGGCCTGTGGCCAATTAGGTTGTACTATTTTGACAACTGCATGCCTGGACCAATTAAAACTGGTCGAGGCCAATATTGACCAGCTGGAGATACAGGCGCGTTAATGTTAGGCTACGGCTAATGTCGCTCTTGGGAAATTGCAGACGCTCCAATTTTTTGGGTTAATGCTGAATTTATTTTGCATCGCAATGGATAGCGTGAAGAAATGAAAGCTCCAAACAATAAGAGACATTCTGATTTATGGTCGTCTGTCGGGAACATTATGTAAGAGATGCTTTATAAAATAATATTCTGCAAAAACTAATTGCATTTAAATAAGACTTGAGGCTATGCATGGCGAAAGTACTAACTATGTGAAGTTTGCGGTGACACCATGTAATCAAATTCTCTCTTTGAGTGTGTGTGGTTCTGAAAAGAACCGGGGTTCAGAGTGAACCCCGGTTCTTTTCAGAACCACACACACTCAAAGAGAGAATTTGACTACATGGTGTCACCGCAAACTTCACATAGTTAATTGCATTTAGCAAAAAAGAATTGAGGCCTGACACTCCAACTGGATCCACACTTGTCTCTTCTGGTGGGTGTGTAAATGGTTTATAATCCTCTGTCCCTGCAAGTTCCTGTCAATAAGTTAGATCTCATCAGATTGTGAAAAAGCACATGGCACACCTTTAAGAGGTATTTTCACAACAAGTTTCCTAAATTCATTTCAGAAATTCCCCGTATCTTCACTTTTGGCCCTGGTAATTTCCATCACTCAGTTGATAGGTCTGACAAATTCCCCCCTCCTCCTTCATGACATTAATGCATGTCAGCTTCAACACACCAGAATCAAGGGGGAAAAATGCCGACAGACTGTGACAGACCGACCGATGAGAACACGCACCAAGATGTGGGCATTCCTTACATGCTGGAGAGGAGTTTATTTTAGTCAGAAGTGCTCTGATTGACTGTGGAATAACAAGGCGAAGTGATCAGTCCATGTGGCCGACCCAATAAAATCTACATAATCGTGACAGACAAATAACAGCAGAAGATGAGGTGGAGGCAAGTTTCACATTAATGTTTCCATTATGGATGTCGGTGGGCAACAATAGATTGCTTCAAACTTTGGACCAATCAAAACACTTCTCATGTGTTGACTTTTGAAAAGGTGCACAGGCTTTCAAATATTTCCTGTCAACATTTCTCTGCACCAAAATCAAATTGCTGAAATACTTTCTTCCACATGTCCGCTTTCACAAGAGTGTGTGAACCCTACGTGATTTCACACTTTGT